CATCAATCATCATCATCATCATCAATAATGATGATAAATATCTGATTTTCTTTTCTTCTTGCAGTACCAGACCATTTTTGAATCTGATAGAAAAGAAATGGATTGTTTATCAACTTTTGTGTGCACTTGAGCAATGTCATTCTGTCCAGGTATGTTGACTAATGAATTTAATCTTCACCCTGCTGCTATGTATGTACACCATGTACTCCTCATGTCACCACATCTTAATACGGTTTTCAATATTCTGCAAACTCGGTATTTACGAGCTGCATGCTGAAATATATATTTTTTTGCTGCCGTCAATCAAAAATAATCAGTCGGTACCTTTTATGTTCTTGACTAGTGGCAGTAAAAACCCATTTCTCAATAAGGCGTTGAAATGTCTGAGTTTGTGGAATATCAAAGACTGCAGTAATGTATTTGCTTACGCAATTGGTAAAATGCAAACATAGTGTCCTAGACATACCATTATTACTCCTTATGGTTGACAAGCAGAAACTCATGCGATAGTTGGCTGACCATGGATTTTTTATTTGTACTGTAACATCGAGAGCATGTCGTCTAACCATGGCCAAAGGTTGGTGAACATGGCATCTAGGGTRCAGCTTTCTTGCATTTTAACAATAATGTGTAGTTCCAAAAATTATCCATACCCCCTCACGGAGGAATTTTTTTAAGACTACCCCCTACCCCCCGGAAATTCCAATTTTCTTCGATACAAACTTTGTAATTCTTGTTCTTTTTCTGACCCCCCTACTCTTTGGAAATTCCAAATTCCTCTGTGGGGTGGGTATGGATGATTTCTGGAATTACACAATATAATTACATGCTGTCATTGAGCCATACACAATTTAGACTGAGCAATCATACTTTTAATGATTGACATTTTTGTGCTTTCACATGATTGACTTGGGATATTGACAGGTATGCCATGGTGATATCAAAGCAGAGAATATTATGGTCACAAGCTGGAACTGGGTCCTCTTGACAGACATTGCTAGTTTCAAACCAGTGTACCTCCCAGAAGACAACCCTGCCGACTTCACCTTCTTCTTTGATACATCTCGGCGACGCACATGCTATGTTGCACCTGAACGATTCCTAGATGCAAGACAGACTGATGCCTTATTGTCAAGTGGTTCTACCTCACTAGGAGACTCTCAGTCCAGTGGAGGTCCTAGTTTACCGGATATGGATATGGAGCAAAGAAGGAAGAGAGTGTTACAGCCTGCAATGGACATATTTTCAATAGGGTATGAAAAAAATCTAATTGAATTTGCTACTCCATGGTGGATGAAAAGTCTAACAGGTCTTACAACACACTTGATAAGTCTGCCATAAGATCAAATTGGAATTTAGGAGTTGATTTTTGTGGAGGGAGGAAAAACTGGAGAACTGGAAAGAACCAACAAACAACTCTACTCACATTCGGCACTGAGCCTGGACTCAAACACAGGTTGCTTTGGTGAGAAAGGAGCACTCTCACTGCTACATCACTGGTGCTTCAAAAAGTAGTGGTACCATCATTGTTATACAATGTACTCTTTCCTAGTGAAGAAAAAAAAAAAAAAACCAAACAAGTGCAATGCATTTTGGAAAAAATATTTTCCATTTCCTAAATATCGGATTACATTATTATTGCACATGTGTTGGGTGTTGATTTTATTTTTATTTGGGGGGGGGGGGGGGGTAAGGGTGGCATTTAAAAAAAATCAAACTAAACCATCAAAATCTTTCCTTTGCAAAACTGTTTTGTAACCCTGAGATGCCTCTACTCTATATGTATACTCTAGCTCCTTTCCTTGAATGAAAGCACTTCCAAAAATRATCATCTTGCTCCTTTAATATAGTTCCAGATGCATTGTGCACAGTTCCCTTGCAGAATACTTCCAATAGTTTTATGTATTAGTTATTTTTTAGTTGTTGGGTTGTGAAGGAGGTAGCTAGAATGAGTAAATGTTAGTCATGGTAAGCTTATATAATCATTTTATTCACCTCCAGATGTGTCATTGCTGAGTTGCTCAGTGAAGGAAACAAGCTGTTTGACCTGTCAGAGTTACTAGCATACAGAAATGGAGACTACCATCCAAAAGCTGTGTTAGAAAAAATAGAAGATAACCAGATAAGGGTATGATAAATAAATCACATTCAGTTAGTCACTTTTAATTAGAATTAGCAAGAGATGGGCCACAAGTGTTGTTTATTTTAATTTTAAAAGCAGTTGAAAAAAATCACCCAATATTTAGAAGCAACAGATAAAAATATGTATCCCCTTCCAAGTCTTTCCTTTATTTATGAGGGTTAAGGTTCCTACAGAGGAATTTGGAATTTCCGAGGGGTGTGGGTGGATGGGAGGTGGTGGTGGGGGGG